TTAATGCTTGATTAACGATGCATGATTAAGGGGATCATGTAAATCGTATGATAGAGTGTTGTAGATTCTTATCAAATTTATTAAATTACCAATCTCAAAAATGCTATAAATAGGGCATTATTCTTTATAGGAGCTAACAAGCGAAAGGACTAAATATCTCTCTTTGTATTTTCCAGCTATCATTGTTGATAATTACATACCATCAGCAATCGTAGCCACCATCACCCAACTTTTGTTAATATTTGTCACTATTATTGGGTTTTAATTGTCCTTTTATGGGCAATTAATTATTTTTAATTGTGAAAAATAGAGGATTTGTTTATCTTCAATTTTATCGTGCATTTTAAAAACTAGATCAAACTCCGTGAATTTTCGCCTTTCTATGTTTTACACAAAATATTTTGTCTCATAGAACTTTTTTTAGTACGTGCTAGATTTTTATCAAAAGCTAAAATATTAAACAATAACTCTACCGACAGAAATTTTAGCCCATAACAAGTACAATATATATTTTTATATATAGCATTAGCCTCAAAATAAATTCAATAATTTAAAAAGCTCATTTTTATTTAATTTATATTAGCAAATCCAATCACTATTTAGCTAGAAAATGGATAATGGAAGAGGTTAAAATCATTTAGTTGCCCTTATCTTCGAACCAAGCAATGGATAGAATAGCTTGCGGTCACGCACCATCGTTATCATGAGAGTAAGGAGTGGAGTCATGTCATTATTGTTTGTTAGAATAGTTTTTTTCATTAATATGTAATATTTTAATCATAGTTAAAGAAAAGAGAGATTATTCTGTGCGGTGTTCGAACGCGACCGGAAGCCAATTCGTACACGCCATGTCACCCAATACACAGTGTATTGGATGACATGATGCGTCCGGATTGACCTCTGGATGCGTCCGGATAACACATAATAATTTTTCTAGAAAGAGAAAGAGGATTAAATAGAGTCAAAATAAATTAGTATATCAATAATATTCTCCCTCTTTAGTCTTTTATCATAAGTAAATTTTTATTAAATAATACTATCACTATCACACCCTAAATCATGTATGGAAATTCTTAAAGATTTCAGTGGATTATCACTCACTTAAAATTTGTCAAATAATCATGACATGAATCATTTAAGACTTGTTGTTTTTATTAATTATTATATAAGAATAATTTTACTATATATTTTACAACAAAATGAGCTTTAAAATTTTTAAATTTATATTAAGTTAAAATATTACAAATAATATTAAAAAAAATTAAAAAATTTTAAAATTTATCCTTATTAAAAACATATTAAGATACCCCTCCATATTTTTCTCCTACTTGTGATAACAATCAAATATTTACCCATACATTGAAAGGTCATTCTCCTACCATTGACTAGGAGGGAAGGCTAGCTTAGCTTGTAGTACTGACAATTTAGAAAGAAAAATATGTTCTAGTTTGAAACACCGGTCACATTGGTCTGTTAGTTTGGAGTTTTGGTTATTGACGAAGAGGTCTTTGATTTGAGACTTACGTATTTGATGTGTCTGTATGAATTTATCTTAATTGACCTAGTTATCCCCAAAAAATAGAAACATCGCCAGCAAACAGTCATTGGATAAGACTAGAGCCAATAAAATAAAAACTAGCTACATTATTTACTAATTAATTGAACAACAAGTTTGATAATTTATTGATTAATATTGCTAGAAATTTATTTTATTTACTTAATAAAGGCAATCAATCTTATGCTACAATATATAGGCCAAATAATAGCAAATTTTTTTTTTAACTTTCAATATTATTGCTAGAGTAACTATAATATATAGGCCAAATTTTCATTTTTAAAAATCCAATAAATATAATAGGATTTGAAGAAACTTTTGCATAAATGCTTGCAATGATTTCAAAAAACTTTTACCATTCTATTAAACTTTATTGTCCAAATTGGCAAAATAAAATTATGGTTCATGTAGACAAAAAAGTTATAAACTATTCTTCAGTGGCTTATATTCATGAACTATAGATGTAAACTTAACATTAAAATAATATAAAATTAGGAAATAATGGAATAGGACTAAAGTGTATATTCTACCATGAGCAAAAATTTTACATGAATACTAAGACCTCACATAGGAATTTTTTTTTTTTAAAGGTTATGAGATTCGAGCACGAGCAGCACACAGGACGGAGGAATTTATTTTTTTGTGGGAGGGGAACATTTAAGTTAATTAAGATAAATTCATACACACATTACATACGCAAGACTCGAACCCAATGCCTCTTAGTTGGTAACCAAATCTCTCAACCAATAGTTCAAGATGAGCTGCCTAATTACATTTACAAACTTGTTGGAGAAACACCTATAGAAAAGATCTATTTAGATACTTTACTAACTGAAAATTATTTCTACACTTTTAATTATAAAACAAAAAATATAAAACTTATGAAAAATTATAAAATGATGAAACTCAACCTGCCATATGCTTCCATAGAAGGAGACTTAGGAATTAAAATCCCCTATCCGCATATGACTGTTTAATGTCAACCAATGAACCACATCATTTGATCCTCTCGTGTAGGAATTTAAATCACAGATCCCTAAAGCTGACCACATATCATTAACCTAATGACATTGATGAATGATGATGAGCCATAGTATGCATACATACATACATATTTCTTACACCATCATACTATTTTATATGTTAACCTTACCACACATAAAGGTCTACGTAGCAAAATGTTTGGATGTTCATGATCCGTTCAGTTACCATCATGCCATTAATTAATTACCCTTATCATTCAGTATACATTAATGAACTGACACCATTCCACTTGCCTTCAACAATAAATGGCCATGCTGACTTGTAAAACTCTGTAACATCAAAATCACGTTATTTAATGGGCTCAGCATTCAATCTCACCTACTCCAAATTTAAAAAATTAGCAAAGTCAATGCCCAAATCAAACCACAATCGATTGATCGATTCTGGCTTACTATTTCAACTCAGCCTCTTCAAGCATTACTAGATTTCTCTAATAGACACCGACCGTACTTGTTCTTATTAGTAGTTATAACATTATCATGTGTAAATGTTCTGAAGCATTTTCGAAAATTCATCATCTGTTTCACCTATCAATAAATATTCTTGTTCCATGCCAGAATATTTACGGTAGTAGAGAGATTATAAGTTAAATGATCTGATTTTATATGAAAGTCTGACACATACAGATAAGGGAGAGTGATGTGGCAATGAAAAGAGACATTATTTTTTTTATGTAGAAATTCTAAGAAAGGAAAAAATCAAAGGGGATTGGCCTAGTTAAAATAATTTCACTAGTATTTATTATTGATTATAAATGATATCGTTCCTTGGGGGAAGGCGTTGGCTAAATGTAACAAATATAGATCATATAGAGCACATTATGTAGTTGGAGTTAGAAGAATCAAATGCATAATAATTGTCCTCAATAGAACATTGGCATGTTCATTCTTAGTTGGGCGACAAAAGTCAAAGAGATCGTAGTCTGGCGATTGGGGTCGAAGGGACTGTAGTCGAGCAACTGAGTTCCAAGGGGTCATAGCATGTGAATAATAGAGGTCAGAAGGATGGTAGTCGACTGGTGAGGAGGTCAAGGGATCGTAGTTGGCGGGCGAGGGAGGTCGACGAAGTTCTGAAGGACCGTACTCGGCATGAAATGAGGTATGTAGGACCATAGTCAAGTGACTGAGGTCGAAGGAATGCAGTCAGATCATAATGGTCTAAAGGAATGCAGTCAACGGGCGATGGAGGTCAGAAAGACCATAATCAAGCGATTGGGGTTGAAGAGCTGTAGTTGGGAGATGGTGGTTAGAGAGACCATAGTCGACAATAGAAAGAGGTTGGAAGGATCATAGTTGGAGAGCGCCTGCCGACGAAGGTTGGAAGGACCGTCATCAACGAATGACAGATGGTCGGAATGACTTTAGTCCGATGACGATGTTTGGAAGGACTATAGCCGATGGAAGACGAAGGTCGGGCGGAGACCCGCTATTGGTTGCCAGACTGAGGTCCAGCAGCGACAGCCAAGCTGAGGTCCTATAGCGGCAACTAGGTGGACTTCTGGCAACAATCAACTAGTGAAGTTTGGCTGCAGCAACTAGGCGGTGAGGGTTTGTCGTTATTTACCTAGGTGGAGCTCTAAGATTTTTCAAGCCTTAAAGCTCTCTTGATCAATAGCCCAAGGTGCAAGCCTCTAAAAGGTACCTTCCATGTAGGGAGAAGGGATCTATTCATAGATTTTAAGAGTGGTATGCCCTATAAATATAAATAAATTCGAAGCAAATTCGGAGTGCTCCATTGGACGATCCATATTGATCCCCTCAATTATGAATCATTTGTTCAACTTTTATCTACTTAAATGGTGGGAGAATCAAGAGATCTTGGGCTTGTTGGATTCGTCTTATCGAGTTGCTTGACTCAACTATAAGCATGCTCTATTTAAATATCATTTAGTCATCTAATTAATGTCTTAAAGCTTGCCCCATATTCTTCAAGCCTTTGATTTGGGCTCATTTGGACTCATAATGGATTGATTTTGGTGTTGTTGGTTGTCTCATTAAGAAATACGGTTTGACAATAAGTTTGTTGAGATTGGAGTTCAGATGGTCCTGAATATAATATTGAAAGTGTCCAATTCAAATATGCATTGAGATTCGTGCAAAACCAAGTTAGTTTTTGGGAATGTATCACTTGTCCCCCTAATTTCCGACGTTAAAGCTTACAGAGTCAAAGAATATACGTCTAGGCCTTTCAAAATGTTGGAGAGGACAGAAAAATTACAATGCGCGACCATTTTATGGACCCTAAACCCTAAACATGAATTTGCCAAATAGTTTAGGAAAAACCTCAAACCATATTTACTACACAGCCTAATATTCAAGTAACCTTTAGATGAAACTGAAGTGGCAGAAAATGAAACCACAGAAGAGAGCGTTTCTACTCTCAAAAGCATATGTGAAACAACTGCGGAAAGATAACTGCATAACATTCATATCATTTCGTAAATATATCAACCTCGGTCTTTTATAAAAAATGGATAAATCAGGACACAAATGTTCTAAAAAAGTTCATGGGGCTAACCATTTTCAGACGATCTTTACAACCACCTTTGATCACGGCTAATCCCAACATATTGGCATGGAGTTTTATGTAAGATTCCATTGCCGTATTCTGTGAATAAAGTAATATGAGAGAAGCAAGCAGGATAATATGATGATCATCCATCAGTCTTTCCCTCTTGAGCTCAAATCTCCTGCAGGTAATGTTCAGCATCCAAGGCAGCCATACAGCCTGCAATATTTACAGGACTATAATGTAGAAATAGAAAATTAAAGGCAATAATAAGCATGTTGATCAACATAAAGAAAATAGAGAATCAGATGTGGCTTATCTAACATCTAAAATCAAGTCAAAACAACCCATAAAAGCCTTCATCTACAAAGCAGATAAAAGCTTTTTGTTTTTTCTTGCAATTACGATGATGCCTCCCACATGGCTGCTGATTATACATTATGACTGATAACTAACAAACAAGCAGTCTGATGGGGACATCAGCAGCGTACCGCTCTTAATGTTTTATCTCGTCGTTCAAATTATTATGAAGATATAATTATTTGTTCTCTATAGAATTAAGCGTGCAAATTCATTAATTAGTTCATCTTCGCATGTACGTATCACATCACAGTCTAGGATAAATTATTACGTGTGAAATCCATACGCAGAGTTACGTCCAGATTCCAATAAAAACGTGACATGTGTCCTTGTACACAGTGTGTATATTATGCATATAAGTTTGTACATATTTAGTACATAATTTTGTAATTTATATATAATGTGTATAGTTGTACACACTATGCACAAGGACATGTGTCACGTTTTTATTAAAGTCCGTACATAACTGGACTCCACACGTAATAATTTCTCCTAAGAAAGTGGTTCCCAATCCCACTTCTAACATCAAAAGCAATAATCACCTTCATGCTCTAACGACAGTTCATAGACAGTTGGAAAGTTTCAATTTGTTCCCTTCAACCAAAATGTTTTAAGACTATAAAAGAAGAGTTTTTCAACATTACATATTATAAATATTATTGGATCCAAACATTATTGATTAGGTAGACTTAGATTATATATGCGTGCACAGGTGTCATTTTTAAACTAACATTTCAGATAAAAAGAAAGAGAAAGAATAAAGTAATATCTGACACTCAAAAGACAAGAATCAGAATAGAAAGATGACTGATTAAGCATAAATTGAAAATGTGAAGCCGTCAAAGACAGACTTTAAACCAAAGTGTTGCGTCAATTTGCATTTTTTTTTCATTTTCTCGAGTCTTCTTATATTTGTATACGTGTATAGTTAGCTAAACAATCAAACATACGTGCACAAGTATAAAACAACTTAAATAAAACAAATTGAAAGTTAATTGAAATATATAGTTCCCGGGCTAATCGTACTGTACGAGCTATTGTACGAACACAGTGAAATTTTTGCAAATTTGGATAATCAATTGGTATTAATTAACAGGAAATTAAAATCCAAGTTTTTATATAACTAATCAAAGTTTACGATATATATCGTCATGTATGATCAATTATATCAAATTCAAGACCGACCGTTATCATTTTTTTTTCAAAAAATAAATAAATTCATATTTGAACTAATCATATTGAACTAGTGAGTGAGTGAGTCAAGTCAACTTAAGCTCGACTCAATAAATGGCTTGTGAGCTGAGCTTTATGAGCTACAGAGCCAAACTTGATCTAGCTTAACTCAACTTGTTAGCTCTAGGGTAGCTACTTTAAAAATACTAATATAAAATACATTTAAAATATATTAAAATTAAGAATTTTATGTATAAAACTAATAAAAATATTTAAAAATTGTCTCATTTTCTTTTATGCTAAGTTCTTTTTTTTTTCTAATTTTTCATTCTTTTTATTATTTTATTATAATAATTGTTTGAGTTATAATAATTTTCATTCATTCATAATAAATGAGCAGGCTCGAACTTGTAGAATAAAGCATGAACTTAATGCTTGAACACAATTATTTATTCAAACTCAAATCAGGGATAACTTGGATTCGACTCGATTTGTTTACACACCTATACTAAATGATATTATTTGTACTATATGAAACCTTAAGAGATTTACCTATTTTACGGATGAAAACCGAGTAAAATTGGGAGACCATTTTGTACAATATGATACATATCTTATAGCCCAAAGAATAGAGGGGGTGTCTATACATTCCCGAATTAGACAACATGAACCAATGTCTTATGTTGATAAATTAAACTAATTGTAATGTACGTGCTTAAGCAGAGGACTAATGAGAAACCTATAAAAGATTAGATCTTTAGACAATATGTTGAAAGAAAGTCTGCTGGAAAATTAGAATTTGGAATTTTATGAGATTTATAAATTCAATAAAATCTCTATTGACATCTACTTTGAATGTACGAAATCAGGTCATATAAAGTGAAAGTGTCCAAATCGAAGGAGGGTGAAGAAAAAATTGATGAAAAAAGAATAAAAGAAAACCTCACAAAGCTTTTTAGGAAAATTCAGATTCTGATTCTTTTGTGACTAAAGCCAAAGAGGAGATAAAAAACTTATGCTTGATGGAAAAGGATAGTTCAAGTGACAAAGATAGAGATCAGATATATGACTATATGTATGATGAATTACTTTCTTTTACTAAGAAATTACATGATAGTTATAAAAAGTTAAGTAAAACATTTACACATTTTAAAAAGGAGCATATCATACTAAAAGAGAGAATATCATACTACAAGATAAGAATTCTATTAGGGATTTTTACATACATACCACTTTATTTGTTACATATTACATATTTAACACCTAATTTTTAAATATTACATCAATACCACCTAAATACTATTCTCATAACAAAAGTACCACTCCGTCGAACGCTTCCCTCATTCCGTCTGAATTCGTTAGGAATGCCCTAGCCAGCAGCTCGGCCTCGGCCTCAGCTTCGACGGACAGCAGCTCGGCCTCGGCCTCGGCGGCGGTGGCGCTCAACTCGTACCGACACGTCTACACATCATCATCATTATCATCAGCAGCAGCAACATCGGCATCACAGTGGTGGCGGAGGGAGCGAGAGGAACGATACGATGAGCACAAGCGACTCCTAGCTAGCTAGGTTTGGCGTATCTCGTAATTAATTCCGTGTGATTTTCCAGCAGCTTAATTCCCTACGATTTTATCCTTTTTGATCTCTTTTTTCTTTGTTGAAGCATTGTTTCACTTTTTTCTTTTTTCTTTTTCTTTCCTATTTTACTTATCTGCTTCGTCGATCGACTTTGGTTCTTCTATTAATATTTCTTTAATGTTTTTATCTGATGACAAACTTGATTGAGATGATTAATGCCGATGGAAGCGATTCTTAGCTCCCCTCGATCCCCTTCTTTTTGTGGCATTTCAGGGATTAACTTCTTGTGATAAGATATATGCCCTCATTCCCAGTCTTCTGAATATTAATTAATTATGTTTTACGATTTCAGTTTTGCCACTTCGAGGTAAAGCAGAACAATGTGATATCAGCTTGTTTCTAGTTACAGTTGAATTCTCTCTTCTTTGTTTATATAGAAGGTTTTGATGAAACCTCTGTTCTCCCGCAAAAATCACAGGCCGGAAGGAAAAAAAAACGGAGTGAGGTCGCTCTTTAACGGAGTGGTAATTTTGTTGTAAAAATGGAGAATAGGTGGTAGGAGTGTAATATTTAAGAATTAGGTGTTAAATATGTAATATGTAATAAATAAAGTGGTATGTATGTAAAAATCCCATTCTATTAATAAAAGAATCCTATTTTTTAAAGAAATGGTTTAAAAGAACAAAATCACATGCATGCTAAACTAGACACAATATATAAAGCATTAGAAGTTGAGGTGTTGCATCTATACGTAGTTATGCATTACAGTTTAAGGTAGGAATAGTCAAAAGTACAACAACAATATCATTTATATATCTACTTTCCTAACCGGGTCATTAGAATGCCGTCATTTTATGTGACCAAACAATCTAAGGCGACTCTCACTAATCTTATCTTTCATAGGAGTTGCTCCAACCTTTTCACATATATGCTCATTTCGTATCATGTCTCTAAGAGTAAAGCCACTCATCCACCTGAGCATTCTCATCTTTGCAACTAATATTATGATTCTCTTTTAATGGCCAACATTCTACACCATAAAACATTGCAGGTCTCACCACCATCTTATAGAATTTTCCCTTATATTTGAGGGGGACTTTTCTATCACACAACAAGCCCGATGCATTGCTCCACTTCAAACATCCAACTTGAATTCTACCAATAATATCCACATCTATTTCACCATCACTCTGAACAATAGAAAAAAAATATCTAAAAAGGGTACTCTAATTAAAGACTTGATCGCCCAAAGTCACAATCCCCCACTAGAAATTACACTCTATATATTTGATTTTAATCTACTCAAACGAAAACCTTTGCACTCTAAGTTTGACCTCCCTAATTCAAGTTAATCTTATCAACATAAAGAATATCATCAGCAAAAAGCATACACCAGGATACAACCTCTTGCAAATGACTAGTTAGAACATCCATGACTAAAGCAAAAAGATATGGGCTTAAAATTGATCCTTGATATAACCCAATAGGAACAAGAAAATAATTGATTAATCACCTTGTGTTTGAACACAAGTAACAGCTCTTGCGATCATATCCTTAATGACTTGAATATAAATATTATTAACCCTTTTCAACATTGGTACCTAATTCCTCGCATACTCAAAAACAATCTGTTAGGGCACTGCATGTGCATCATTCTCCTCTAGGAGGAAGAGTTCTTCATCACACAAATTATCAATACATATTTAGTGACCAACTCACCCGGCCTGCAATTAAATCCTTACAAGATAGCAAAATATTTTGAAAAGATTCGAAACAGTAAACATAAAACTAGTGTGTCAATATTCAGGCTAAGCTAATCCATTTAGACTACGTGGACTACTTTTAGCCAACCAATGGAGGATTTAGGATTTTGGTATCGGGAATTAAGACATACTCAAAGGTACTAGTAAGGAAAAAAAAAAAGGTGACCATGAAATTTAATTTTATCTTCATATATTTCCAAAAAAAGGTGAAGTGCAAGAAAAAAAAAATAAAGATTTCTAATTAACCAAAATAAAATCTCTTCATTCAAAGTTCAAAAAAATAATTACATCTCCATCATAAGTCAACCTAGAATCTATCAAATTAGGAATTATAAACTATAGCT